GCCAAAATGTTCATTTTGGCACTTTGTGCCCATGGAGACTTTTGTTCAGGATGACAAAATCTACAACATATCAAAAATTCAGACAATTTGACAGAAACCCAATTTCCATAAGATTATTGCGGGGTCCTTTTAAGCATCGCGCTATAAAAGCTATTGTATCCAACCAAAAAAGTTGGAAGAGATAGAAGGAGCAAGGACTGTAATTTATCTGCGCAAAGGTTGTTTTTTCCGCGTATGGGTGACTTAAGTGAGGAAATTATTATTTTAAAACAACCATTCTCTTGCCATTCTCTTAAAAAATTTTTAATATTGTGTTCGAGTAAAATAAATTTAGGATTTAAAAAAATGTGTTATACAAGGTGTGAAAACGGCGTTATGACAAATTTTCAGGGCGAACTTTTCTCGTTAAAACAAATAAAAAAGGGTAATATGAAATTTGTCGACATAGGTATATACTTAATTAACACCTAACAATGATTATATGGCTTGAACGGAAATTTCAATCTGCATGCGACAAAGTAAAAAAATATAGGGTGTTCCATTTAAGTTAACAAGTTATAGCTGTTTGAAGTTATCAAAATGTAACAGCAAAAATTAAACACCTAGTATTAAATGTTTTAATTTGTTGGTATACCATAATGTAGTGTTACCTATGCCCTTTACATGTACCAAAAATCCGCTTGATATCACGCTCCTGATAAGAGTTAATAGCATCTCCGCGGACCCTCGCATCTATCAAATTTTCTGTTTTTCGCGTATCAAACCTATTGTCAAATTGGCCATGAACAGAAACACTCCAAAACAATTAAAATAACTTGACATTTGTCAAGTTAGTTGTCAAGTTATTGTTATGTCTGTAATAGTTTTTACTGAAAATTTAAATAAAAATGCTTGGGGATCGTTTAAATTATACTTATGAGGATTGTAATTTGTTTGTTATTTATGGAAAAACGCAGCAGAACTAACTTGACAAATGTCATGTTATTTCAATTGTTTTTGGAGTGTTTCTGGTCATGGCCAAAAAATAGAAAATTCCCTCGCATCTGTCAAATCTTTTTCCTCAAATGTCACGTAGAATCCGAAAATTAAAATATATAAAGGGTGTCCCATTTAAAACAACGAGATAACGTCGACTTCTGATTTTAGGTCATTATTTTAGTTGAGAAGGGTATGCCCGAAAACACTAGCGCCAAATTTTCAAAATTAAAATCAAAGAAGTTGTCTAATGAAGAAATATGTCTAATGTCTTGTCACCGTGGGGCACCCTGTATTTAGCATTCTTTTCAAAACTAAATATAAAAAATAATGTTAAGGATTGATGTTTATACTCAATAATTTTATACACATTTAAATAGCAGGACTTCAGGAATCAGTAGAAGACCTCATTTTGAGTCTAAAAGTTCCTATATACATGGGTCCTAAAACGCTTCGTTTCTGAGATACAAGGCGTTCAATTTTATTTTTGTTTTATTTATTTATTTTTTAACTAAATAACCGCTGACAAAAAAAAAATCATCATGTTGTGGCAAATAATTTGACACAGAAAATCATCGCATATTAGTTGCAGTGGTAGAGATAGAGGGGTCTCTAGCATATTTTTATAAAAAAAGTATAGCCGATTTGATATTTTGCAAATGTTTTCGAAAAATATGAAAGAGCATTCAATTCTACCAAGAAAAGGCCCTCTTGTCCAAAGTCGATAGGAGGTGGCGTTTTCAAGAAAAACCGAAAATACTGTTTAGAAGTCAAATAATAATTTTTAAACATTGTGTTACAACTAAATTAAATATGTAGTTCAAAAATTCGGTTAAAATTGTTTTTAATTAATTAAATGAAAATAAATACAAAAATAAATAACGAAAACCATATTACATCAAAGCAAATGTTCGAAATGTAAACCATTTTCTTCGATACATAACTGACACCGACGCTGAATAGAACGTCTCATTTGAATTAAGTTATTGTCTCTGATTTCACTGCATGCGTTCCGAATCCGACGAATAAGTTCATCCCTTGTGTCCACAGTAGTGGTATAAACTCTCTCTTTAATAAAACCCCAGAGGAAAAAATCTAGGGGTGTCAGATCAGGGGATCGGGGAGGCCATGCAACGATACCCCCGCGGCCAATCCATTTTTCGGGAAAGTGGGTGTTCAACCAGTTCCTGACATTTCGGCCAAAATGAGCTGGACAGCCATCAAGTTGAAACCATGCTCGCATTCTTAAATTCAGAGGAATTTCCTCCCACATGTTGGCACTCTCGGTCTCTAAGAACTCTAAGAAATTCGCAGAATTCAGTCGTTGAGGTAAGATGTAAGGGCCGAAAAGACAATTGTTATAAACGCCGAGCCAAATATTAACACTAAATTCGTGCTGAAAATTTCGTGGTCTGATTGCATGCGGGTTTTCATGTGCCCACTCATGCTGATTGTGTAAATTTGTCACACCTCGACGAGTAAAACATGACTCGTCGGTCCATAATATGTGTGATAAAAAATTTCCGTCGTTTTCAATTGAGTTAAGAATCCACCGAGAAAAAGCTATTCTATGTTCCTCGTCACCCGGACGTAAACCCTGAACAGGTTGTAAGTGGTAGGGATGTCTATGATCTCGTCTTAATGTTCTAGAAATAGTGCACCTGGAAACACCAATAATCCTGGAAATTTTTCTGGTACTCGTCGTGGGATCTCTGTCAAATTCGTGCAAGATTCGCTGATTCCTCCTATTTCTGCCAATATTAACGTTAATTATGTTGCGATCCCTATGGACCAGATTCAATCCGTCATTAGCGAAACGTTGATGAATATTAATAAAAACGTGTGGATGCGGCTGTCTTCTATTAGGAAATCGTCTCCGATATTCCCTAGCAGCTTCTGCCGAGTTCCCATTGGCAAACCCGTATACGAAGTGAATATCTGCGTATTCTTGGTTCGTAAACTTAAACGGCATTTTGAATTTGTTGCAATTTTTTTTAATACTCTACACACAATTAGAAACTATAATAAAATAAGCGCAAATGTCAATATTAGAATGACATTTCAAGTCTGATTTGATTTCTAAACAGTATTTTCGGTTTTTCTTAATTTGACTTCTAAACAGTATTTTCGGTTTTTCTTGAAAACGCCACCTCCTATCGACTTTGGACAAGAGGGCCTTTTCTGGGTAAAATTGAATGCTCTTTCATATTTTTCGAAAACATTTGGAAAATATCAAATCGGCTATACTTTTTTTTATAAAAATATGCATAGAGACCCCTCTATCTCCACCACTGGAACTAATATGCGATGATTTTCTGTGTCAAATTATTTGCCCTTAAATACTAAGTCTTTCGCCGCAACATGATGATTTTTTTTGTCAGCGGTTATTTAGTTAAAAAATAAATACATAAAACAAAAATAAAATTGAACGCCCTGTATCTCAGAAACGAAGCGTTTTAGGAACCATATATATAGGAACTTTTAGACTCAAAATGAGGTCTTCTACTGATTCCTGAAGTCCTGCTATTTAAATGTGAGACACCATGTATATCACAATTTTTTATTTTTTCTTTAATTGCCAAAATATAGGAGGCGCCAAGTTGATCTTTGCGCGAGCACAAAATTTCTAGCTACGACACTGTACACCCTGTACATTTTGAATAGATTTGACTTTGTATTCAATTCAATCCAATTAGCTAGCATTTAAGTATAATCTCTTTAACGTAGCACTACGAAAACTTCGCCTCAGACCCGTTAACGAGCACGTGACGAATTTATTTGAGCATTGACGCAAAATATCCGTCTGCCGTGAAACTGTATGCAAATCAAAACAAATGCAAATTTTGTGTAGGCACGCGTCAAGATTTTATCGAAATTATGCCGTGAGCAAAAGCCACGTGCTCACAAAATATTTCATAAATCGGTAATTGTTCTGCATTGCTGCGTTTAAAATGTACAGGGTGGACAAATATTTTAAGGGGTTCATCCTGTTTCGTCCTGAAAAAATATAAAAAGAGTTAGGATTAAGATGCCACCGGTTCGATTTCGATAAAAGTTGAATGTCGTGAACATGTGGAGCAATCGCATCTCGATGCCTTGATTCATGTAAAAGATACAGGGCATTTTTCATTTTTGACAATATTTTTTTGTTTAAATATTTGATTTTGTTTACACTTTTTTCTACAGACCTTTAGGTACAGTCCAGTATTACAGTAAATAAACTAACACTAGGTATGCAATTTGTCAAAGCAAAGGATTTCGGTTATAAGAGATTTTTCAGTTTGAAGTTATCAACGAAAACTGAATTTTTTCTGATCACGACGATGTTTCACTGTTATTTGATACGGTGCGCTTCATATTTCCATCGAAGTATCAAATTATTCATTTTTACAAAGAATGCTTTGTAAACAAAACATACGACTATCAGTTCCAACGAAATTTTGACAGTTTAGTTCAATTTTCATTGACAATATCTAAGGTTTAGTAATTGAAAAAGCAATGTTCACATGCTTCAAACTTATTCGTTAGTCAATTTGAAGAATATCCGACTTTGTTTCTTCCGAAAACTCCATTTCTAACTATCTGAACTTTGACAGTGCCAATGAAAATTTAACTGAACTGTCAAAATTTCGTTTAAAGTAAGAGTTGAAAGTTTTGTTTTCAAAGCACTCTATAAAAATTGATAATTTGATATTTTGACGAAAAATGTAAACCATCCCATCATAATAAAAAAAATTTACCAAATTTAAAAAATGTGAAAACCAATATGGCACCCATAAGAAAATCAAGACATTTGAATTACCCTCAAAAAAAAAATGTTTTAACTATATCTGAATTTAAAAAGTCCACATATACTATAAAAGGTTGATTTATATCTTTGAAACGTAACAGCCGTTTTTTATGTATTTCTTTGATATCACAAAAATAAATCTTAAAACTTTGATTTTTACCATTTTCTTTTTTCTCTTCTAGACAGAAAGGTGGAAAAAATGTGAATTTTCTGTATATTTCAAACAAAAATTAAGTATAATATAATTTTTATTAGTTTACTGCATAACATAAGCGACAATAATATACTGCCTTGTGTAAAAAAATATTTAAGATCTATGCTAATTCTGTAAAAATACTATATGAAAAATTAACAACAGTCCAGTGGTGTAACAAAAAAAATATATAAAAAAACAAGCTTCCAAATCTCGTTCTACTTGTACAAATGGTAAATGGATTCTCCAGGGTGAAAAGTTTTAACGCCCCTATCGAAAGCTTTATAATGGTATTGGTTTTTTCCGGATACTTTCTCAATGGTCATCAGACCTGTAACGTCAGTAGACTGCCCCGTTTTCAAAGGAGATACTTCCACGTGTACATCGGCTATGTATCGCAAATTACTGCTGATTATTTCATCGGTCTTGGAAGACGTATGGCTATTTAGCACAACAGAAATTTTATCGTTGTTGATCAAATTGACGCAGTAGTTAACGAAGTTAACAACAAGAGCCACGTCGACACCCAGATCTAACAAGTGACTGACGTCGTCTATGATCAAATAAGCTTGGCCTTCGCTGCCATGTGTTAGTTCATCTAGGTTCTTCTTAATGTCAAAATAAAGGCACTTAACGATACCCTCTTTATCTTGTTGGAGGTAGTCTTCTTCGATTCCTATGCTATCTACAATATCATTTAGAGGTTCTATTATCTTTATTGCGTTATCATTTAGAGCTTTGCATAGGTCGTAACCCAGCTTTTTACCAACATTTTGGTAGTGGTCTAGCGGGTTGTGGAGGTTTACGAGACAAATTTTGTTTTTTTCATACAGGATTTGTTTGATGAGGTGAGTTAGTATGAAATTGGAGTCGGCTTTGCCGTTTTCTTTGACGGATATGATGCGGTCCTCCAATTTTATCTGAAGGGCTGCTAGGACGGGGTTCGAAGTCCTGGGATCTCCTAGGGAAATCATCCTCTATCCCTAAAAAGAAGCAAAAGTCGTAGTGTTCAAATTTAACGACAATTTGATTAAAAAACATCTGTAACTACTTAAAAAACTATAACATAGGGTGTCCGGAAGGTATCTGCTGACGTCTATAGAGGAGGGCAAAATAATACTACTATTCATTATATTTATTTTGCCTAATAACGGAAATATCGGGCCCCAAAGGGTTACCCAAGATTTATGTTTTTCTTTTTAACTTTATAACTACAAAATGAGCTTCGTGTGACCTTATAAACTGCTACAAGGTCTATGGTAGATAATTACCGGACACCTTGTATATATCTAATTGTTTTCATATAATTTTATACGTTTTATACCAAAAAATAAATGAATATATTTAAAATAAACGGATAAATATATTTCCGTAACTCAAATCATGACAAAACGGACAAATGAGTGAACAATTAAAGCAAAATAAAGTTTAAGATTTAATATTGTTTACTACAAGTTAATATTTACAAGCATTTATCTGAAACAGATAACATATGGGACACGCACGTCATCATCGATTTATTAATGGAATTTTTGAACCCTGATGGTCTTTATAAATTAAGGACATCACGAAATATATAATTTATCATCTAAATTACGAAATAAACGTATAGATTCGTGATAGCGCGTGACATGTAATATAAATCTGTTACACACAAAATTATTAACCCAATGAAATTGTTCCTTCGACAAATATTTGACCAAAAGAAAAAATAAATCGTATTCAAACATCTGAAATATACCCGGTTTATTCTATATATAAGAGCCAAAAATAAAAATTGGAAGAAATAGCTTTAACAAACTGTGTTTTTCGATATATTATATATTCGGCAGACAAAACTTTTATAAACAATTTGGTACCACCTACACTTTTTTAGATTATTTTTTTTTCTATATATTTGGTGGCATTTAACATTTTTTGAGTTACATAATTAAACGCAATTTTTAATTATTTTTATGGCTAAGTGAGCATAACTTTACGCACGAAAGGTTATATTTCCATAATGAATTTTAATTATATTTGTTCGTTTTTAACGACCACTGAAACTAACTTTGTTAATTATTTGTTAAAAATTAATGATAATTATCGACCAACCATTTTGTTCTGGTAAATTTTATTTTTACAAAATATATTAAGTACATTGATTCCATCGGTTAGTTGATTTGTGGGAATTAATAAGGAATGTTTAATGTTTATAGTTATAAGGAGGTAAGTAAACAAAATTAATTGATCAAACACATCATTAATATACCTATGTACAATCTATATTAAATATTCTATTATAGAAATAGTTTTGCATATACACCTAAAGCATATGTGCCTTATGCTCTACAAACATCAATTTATCCATTGCTTCACAAAGTTGGCAATCTTTCAGATTTATGAACCAACAAATTAAATTTTGTAATAAAACTGTTCTAATGCCAAAATATATTTAGTACAAGCTAACTTCAAAATATACCTACACAATGCACAAAATTAAAATACCTATGGCGTGTGATGAACTGCAATGATTTTTGAAAAAAAAAAACAAAATAGAATTATTATTTACTGATATCCTTGAAAAAGTTGTTAAATGTTTTTGGTCTCACGCTTATTTAAAGTCATATAAATAAAATCAAATACCACAATGAAACATTATCTTAATCGCCTACAGTCACATAAGCAAAATTGTATTTATTCCAGTTTTATTTCCTTACGATAAAATCCCCACAGCTTATTGGAATTTTCATGTTGATTAGAGCAAGGTTTTGGCAAATATTGGTTAATTATATCACATTTTTTTACGTACAGTGAAGTATTCATTTGGTAAGTAGCAAATTATTTAAATAATTTAATTTCGACATGAGTGGTTGTGTTTAAATAATTGGCGGATGTACTTTGATATAAAATATATATTTCTGTTCTAAGGCATAAATTTTATAGAAAAAGTTAATATTCAACGCAAAATTACTATTTGGCATTTAACAAATACCCAAGCATTAGGATGACGCTAAATAGTAGGTATAGAAAGTTTAATGAATGAATAATAATATATATTAAACAGTAATCACAAATCTACACTTCAAATGAATATAATCCATTATGAAATATTTATAAAATTCGGGTAATTTTTTACTGATACTGCGCAAGCAAGAGATGAATGACACGACGCCCTTGGACTTTCTTACAATTTCACACAAGCAAGCAGAGCTGTGCTGTGCTTGAATGGTCACTGTCACTATGACAGTTGCGGCACTTCAGTGAAAAATATGAACGTCAGTTAAGAACACCTTAATACTCATACTGAAATCAATAAACACCCCTACAAGAACAGAATGGAAAAATTTACTGGGTCAAGGTAATAATAAGAATTATGTATTTAACAAAATTTCTAAATTAATCTTTCGACTTCACTGCACTGAATGTTACACACAGCGGCGTGATTGTTAATAAATTGTTTAGCCTTGGTGAAGTAAACAATTTGTGATAACATTAGGGCATTGCATTTAATTTTAATAGCAGTAGTAGTATATTACCAATTACCATGCATTACCATCGATTACTTGCATAATTGACGGTCTTTGAACATAAGCACTGTTTCTCAATTACGTATTACATAAGGAATATCTTACCTGCCAAGTAATAACGAACAGATTTATTTCTGTAAGTTTTGAGGTAAAGATACCAAAAATAACTTATTTACACATTTAAAAACACGTTTTTGTCAATCTAACCTATAAACACTATATTTTGACATATTTGCTGCTTATGTTTTTACATTTTATCGCTAGAGGCGCTATACGTATATAACCGCGTTCTTTGAAATTCATATAATTTAAAAATGATCTATTTAAATTTTTAAATAAATACTATCACAAGAGATAAAAGCCACAGTGGTGTGAGTGGAAAAGATTAAATAAATTATTATTTACTTATATAGTTAGAGTTATTACTTTTTTAATGGTCAAGGTTATCTAAAGTTATTTTAAAAGTAATTTTTATTATTTTGGCAGAGTATTTCCAGCTTTTAATAGATGCATAGCCAATTTATGTATATTCATTAACGAAAAAGGTCAATTTTAGTTTAGTTTTTAGGTAATAAATATATATATTTACAATGTCTCAAAAGAGTGATAAAGAGAGGATGTTGCCAAGATGGTACTTTGGGGGATTGGCTTCTGCAGGAGCAGCCTGTTGTACTCATCCGTTGGATTTAATTAAAGTGCATCTCCAGACACAGCAAGAAGGAAAGTCATCGATAATTAATTTAACGAAGAATATTATAAAGAAAGAAGGTAAAAATTGTGCTTTTTTAATTCAATGATTTTAATGCAATAATTTATCAAATTGCTCTCATTTCACATTTTCTGTCTGGTGATAATCTCAAATTTGTATTAGTAGTATTTGTAAAAAATATATACCTACTTATGTATCTTAATTCCTTAATCAAAATTGAATAGGGATTATCCAATAATTTATTTTATTTAGTTTATTTTAAAACAATAAATATTTTGAATAAAATGTTATTTAAAAACTTGCTTAATACAAGAATCTTTTAAAAGTTTTGATAGGAACTTTAGTCAACAGTTACAAAAATAGTTAGAGGTACAGGCTAATGAATAAATAAATAGATGCCTAGTTTGTTTTATAATTATTAGGTAGCTACAAATATTTATAATAAGCTTATATAATTTAAATATCATTGAAATGACCTTAAAAATAAATTTAATAATTTCTCTGTGGTGCTTAAATACCTAATTATCTAAAATCTATAATTGGTTATGTTCAAAAAAATTGTTTTGTGATCGTCATTTGATTACAAAAATTTTTCTGTCCTATTTAACATAACGTTTCCATTATTATATCAACACTGTATTCAGATAAAGACGCTTATCTTGTATCACCACGTTTAAAAAATTATTTTTCTGACTCTTATATGATACATAATGTAGATGTTGATTTACTTTCATATTTTTTCAGGTGTTCTAGCTTTATACACTGGCATATCGGCATCACTATGCCGTCAACTCACCTATTCAACAACAAGATTCGGCATCTACGAAGTAGCGAAACAAAATCTACACAGCGACTCGTTTATGTCCAAAGTTGCGATAGCAGCCATTGCTGGAGCGGCAGGGGGTTTCGTAGGAACTCCTGCAGATATGGTAAATGTCAGGATGCAGAATGATATTAAGTTACCTCCAGAGAAACGAAGGAAGTAAGTCGTACTGATCAGCAGTGCTCAAAAGTGCTCATACCTTTTTTTATTAGTTATAAACATGCAATAGACGGCCTAATACGAGTTTATCAAGAAGAAGGGGTTAGAAGGTTATTCTCCGGAGCCAGCACTGCAACTTCTAGGGCCATTTTCATGACCATCGGGCAACTGTCATTTTACGACCAAGTGAAACTGTTACTACTCTGCTCAGGAATATTCAGCGACAATATGATCACCCACTTTTTATCAAGTCTGACAGCGGTAAGAGATCTATACTTTATAGTTTGTTGAATAGTAAATTTTAAAATTGATCCGAAACGTATGGTTAAGAGTCGCTTTTTGTCATTTTAGGGTGCCATTGCCACATCTCTTACTCAACCTCTCGATGTTTTAAAGACTAGGTCGATGAATGCTAGACCTGGGGAATTTAAAAATCTATGGGGTATAGTGATTTACACTGCCAAACTGGGTCCTCTGGGCTTTTTCAAGGGCTACATACCAGCATTTGTGCGATTAGCGCCACAAACTATCTTAACTTTCCTTTTCTTGGAACAGTTACGTTTCAACTTTGGGTATTTACCACCCGTACTGAGAAATTAGAGCAATTATTTTTATTTTTTTATTTTTCATTCCTTTTTATTGATTTGTTACTATTGGTTTTAGATAATTTTACTATTTTGTTGTTGTAAACAAATGTGTCGTGTACTGTTAAAAGTTATTTATTTTTTTAAAGTGGATAGGTCAAAGGGAAGCATATATTTTTACATAATGTTTTATTATAGATAGTATTTTATTTTTACTTTTTGCATCTATTTGCATTTTGTTACGTTACACAATATATTGAGCAATATTTATTTTCGGATATAAGTTATACTCTACGCATTTAAAGAAATTGTGTATTGTTACATTTGTTTTGCTTATCAAGGCTCTATAATGCTCAGTGGAATATTTTTAGTATTAAGTGACAAATATATGTTATACAACGATTCCAATTTTTTTCCACTCAAGGTTTTCCCTGCTCCATTCCTGGTCTCGAATGATTTTGACTTCAATATTCGACACTTTATTTAATTTTATGGAAATTTAATTATAATATACAGTGATCAAGAATTTTTTGTTTGCAACCTAGAAGATAATAATAGTGATAAATTATGTACAATTTAAAAATAGTAAAGTTACATATTTCACACACTTCTGAGATATATTGGAATTATTTCATGTAAAGGTTGAAGACAATAAATTGATCTATCCATTGATTAACATTTAAATGTTAGTGGAGTAAAATAAGATTTTGACTTCGTAAAAATTAGCAGATTGGGTAACTTTTGAGGACACACTTGTGAGGGTGTTAGGAACAATATATAAAAAGTTATCAACCGTAGTGTACGCAAAATTTCATTGTTTATTATACATCTTAAATTCAATTTAAAAAATTAACTAATGCGCCAATCGAAAGAACGGGAAATTTTACATGAAAAATGTATATAAAGGTATTTTCTAAAATGAAAACTGTAGGTTGTAGAACTTTTTTTAAATCGTACGAAAATGTAAAGCGTCGGCACTTGCGCGCAGGACTTGAGGAGCGTGCGGCCTCACATGCTATCCACTAAATTTGTTATAACTTTTGATCTATTTGATCAAATTAAATCCACAAAAATTTAAATGAAAGGGGAATCTTGTAGCTAACAAGTTATGATTTTAAAATCGAAAAAAAATATTTACAGGAATAGTGTGTAAATAATTTACATAACAGTAGAATTTTCTACAAAATTAATTAAAGATCTTCCATTTTTTTAATTTTTAAGATAAAAATCTAAAACTTTCAGAGATTACTCTTGAAATAGCATTTAAAATAGTGTGATATAAAAAAAATCTTAAAATTTTAATTCGAAAAATACAACACTAGAAATATTCAATAATTTAAAAAAAAAGGCAACTGATTTTTTAAGTTACGTTTCAAAGTCCAATAACTTTAGTTCAAAATATAATATTGCAACTTTACAGGAGCATTTTTTGAAGCTTGAAAACTGTACTTTAAGATGGTCCATTTTGTTTTACTTAAAATGTTGAATTTATAATTAAAATTAAAGATAGACAAAAAAAAATTAGTTCTAAAACGATGAAATTTGTTAAATAAACCTTAATAAAGTTAAAAAAAATTTTTTTGCTTGTTTAACCAATATATTTTCAAAGTATAACCTTAAAAGAAGTATATCAACGAAAAAAACATTTTTTTGTTACTATAATATTGTATTCAGTCAGGAGATTCACTTTTACATATATTTTTTTTATGATAAAAGAAGTAGTAGAAGTGTATCTGGTAATGTAATTCATTCTCGTGATTCGAGAAGTATATTTTTGAATATTAGTAGAGATAGAGACACCATAGCATGCTCTATAGCAATCTCTAATTGTTCCGAAACTGATTATCTCAATTGCCAAGCATTTTTCGAAGAAGAACGAGAATCAGACCAATTGCCAGAACTTACAATGATTCAAGAGAATGAAAATTGAATATTGTTATTTTTTTATATTTCTATTTTTAATATGCAAATACTTTTTCATATTTAATAAATTTGTTATTTATAATAAGCAAGGCTAACATAACGAAATATTTGAAAAAAAACGAATTTTTGGAAATCCGTTTCTGTTTAATTTCAGCCTTCTATGAGGTGACACTGAAAAAAGATCACTTTCTCATGGCCCTCTATCGAAAGGCATAATCAGTTTTTATAGGTAACGTTTCGTATCTCCAGGACCATCATCAACATCTTTTTTTTAAATACGACCCTGGCCATTTTATTACATTTTTTGCAAGCCTTCATGACCCCCAATACTGTATTGTCTCTAATCCTCTAATACTCCAATACTCTATTGTGAAAAATTCATTTTCAATGTATTTGTTTCAAATTTATCTAATTTTTTTATTTAGATTTCTGTATTTATTGAATTATCATACACTCTAAGTGTCGTTAGACCCTAGTTACTTAAACTATTACCATCACATGTTACAATAAAACATTAGAGTTTTAATCTCCACCACCTGGTCATATATAACTCAATAAGTTGTTGAGTCAAAATTAAAACATTACAATTTTAGTTTCATTATGGCAAATTAATTCTTAAAAATGCATATGAACAACCAAAACTCCAAATGAATATTATACTTTAAAAAATTACAGTAAATATTCAAAAACGTTTCTGTTTTGGCAATTGTTGAAAATGAAGATAAGCGTAATATGATCGGAATTTATTATACCTACAACCACAACTGTGAAAGAGCATGTCAGATGTACTTATTTGTATGAATATTCTGAGAGAAATTAGATCGAATTTTGTTTGAATTTTAAGGGCTCAAGAAACCTAGAATTAACTGTAAGCACGTGATTAAAACTCTTAATGTTTTATTGTAACGTGTAATGGTAATAGGTGGATTTCACACTTGGAGTGTACGATAATTCAATAAGCTTAGAAATTAAAAAAAAAAATTAAATAAATTTGGAACGAATACATGAGGATGAATTTTTCTAAACAAAACGTCTGAATCTGGTTCGGGCTGAGGCAATACAGTATTGGGAGTCATGATGGCTTGCAAAAAATGTAATAAAATTTCCAGGGTCGTATTTAAAAAAATAAAGTTGATGATGGTCCTGGAGAGATGAAACATTACAGATAAAAATTGATTATGTCATTCGATAGAGGGCAAAAAGTTGCTTTGAAAAAGTGTTCTTTTTTCAATGTCACTTCAAACAAGGCTGAAATCAAACAAAAACGGATTTCCAAAATTTCGTTTTTTTTTAATATTTCGAAAACTAATCATGTTAGCCTTGATTTATAGAGGCATAATGTTGGTCTCTTGATTATGCAACTTTCCCCAATTTAAGTTACTTCGTATCTCTTACTGTTTCCGAAATCCCTGTAGTGAGAAGCCAATTTGTAACAGCCTGTATACAGAAATATTTTTAAGTGTAGGTGTGATATAACCTACAAATATTTTAAATCTCGTTACTTATGTTATGTTTACCAGTAGATATAACGTAATAAACTAATGTTTTGTAGCAGTAGGCAGACACAATTTTTCAAACTGTGCAATTTTTAAATGCGTTTCTACAAGTGATATTTCCCTGGTAGCAAATCTTGCACAAGACACTTGTACAAGACTGCTGTGTACCTACTGTCGAAATCAGCATCAGGTTTACTGCAAGATTCATTGTGCAATTGTCTTGTTCAAAGCCTTCAATGGATTTGATTCAAGGCACTTGAGCACAAAGGGGTAAATTAAAGCAAGTGACTATGTTATTGTTGCAGGCTTAACATTAGAATTAAGTAAGACATATTGTACTTGTCTTATACTAATTCACCCCTTTGGACTCAAGTACCTTTGGTTTGGTGCAAGTATTGTAAAAGTATCTTGCATAAGAAACTATATAAATTTCAGCAATAGACACAAAACAATCTGACACAATTTGGCTATTTCAAGTAAACTTGAAACAACTTGTATTAGAATTGCACACGATTGTGTTACCAGGGTTACTTCACCTATCCCGCCCGTAGTGATTGCCTCTGCAATTTGAGGATGCACAGACTGCTATATGTGACTTATGATTTCGATTCATATAAATTACTGGTTTATACATGCACTTTAACTGCACATACTAAAAAAATTTGTTCAGGACAATACTTTTAAGATATTGTAACTGTATATTATAAAATCTTTACATTATTTTTTCCACAGCGCCAAGTGAAATTTATCTTTTGATCATTCGCAGGACTTAAAAAACTCTATTGCAGAACTCGAATAGGGATATTTGCTGCTTCACAAAATTTTAATCCAACAAATTATTTATAGGCTTCCGTCTCGACAGTAATAACACAACCTTTAGATGTGTTAAAAACGAGAATGATGAGTTCCAAACCGAGACCGTTCAAGAGCATGTGGGACTGCATTCAAGAGACAAGCAAAGGAGGTCCGCTTGCTTTTTTTAAAGGCATTTTGCCCTCCTTCGTACGGATACTACCTACGAATGTCTTAGTGTTTCTATTCTACGAGCAACTGAGGCAACATTTTGGATTCTTACCTGACCCTCCATGAATAATATAACAGAATTTTCTTAATGTATTTCTAGGCATTTTTATAAAGGTACGACGTACATGGCCTATTTTTTATCTTAGATTTAGTCTCGTGATTTTGGTGGTAGTTTCAATGTACGACGAAATAAATAAAAAACAAATGCAAAGTATCATATATTAACTGCATTGTTTAAAAGCTCCATTTATAAATTCAATCTAAATAAGTATATGAAAGGTAAAAGGTGCAGTTTTATATGTTATATTTAATTTGCTCTAAAGGTACAATATTTTCACATGTAATCTTTTAAATGTCAACACAAAAAAGGAAATAATTTTTATAGAAAGTTCACATCTCTATCACACGACAATTTTGCTTTAATTATACACCTTTATTCTCCGAGGTTATTTTATTATCATCATACATAATTAAAATTAATAATACTTAAAATCAAATTTTTAATATAAAAATGAACACAATGCTCTACTGAAAAATTATATCTGAGCTGAAAAGTAAATGATGTTAAATATAGAACAAATATATATATATTTAGCCGTGAAAAATCGTGAGAAAAAAAAATTTGACCGATTATACTAAAAGATTCTGTTTTAATTATACAGGGTGTAGATTTAAGTGGGGATAAGTTTTTTAGGGGTATACTTATTCCCCGGAATACTAACCTAAAATTACTTTTATTTGGATTTTATCAAATGGATGGTCGAGATAAAATTTGTTTTTTAAAATGATAAACTCTTGTCTACGCCATTACTGAGCAGCTCCCGGAACTTAGTTGTATGAGTGCATTTAGCAATGCTACCTTTTTAAACCAACTGTATGAAGTGGCAGCAAGAGAAACTGCAATGGAAAATAATTTTGCAAAAACATATTACGATTGTACGACTTTGCAACATGTTATTTTAAAGTCACCATATCTTTTTGCCAATGCGAATGAATTCAAAAAAATTGAGTGTAAAAAAAACTGTATTTTTTGTATGAAATGGAAAGTAATATTGATATGGTTATATTATAGTTGTTACAATATCAACTGGAACCTGTGAATCTTAAAGCACAGGACCGTCTGCACTTCTCTAGAAATTTCTTCCTATGTTTTAGCCATGATGTGTCTCGTAATTTATACTCGAATAGCCATTGGGCGAGTCCGGTATTGGTAGCCCAGTCCACCTGATGTAGAATCGACGGTGGCGCACTGGTCGTCAAAGCAAACCTGTATTGTTGGTCCACTAGGTCGTAAATAATTTTTTGCATGGTATTCTATAATTAGTTTGGTGTCGAACGCGGTTCACTTCGCTTTGTCAGTGCCGTGAAGAGCAGTGCTTGGCTACATTTATTGTTGGTATAATACGTATTAATAATTATTAGTTAATATTAATATTAATTATTAATATTTTTTCACATCGTAACCAGTAAAGGGCGATAGTTATTAAAATAAATATTATATGTAATTATCTAGTAATTTAGCATGGCTTTCTGAAGACCCTTTGAAACGGAAGATAACGAAATACCCCGGGAAAATCCCCAAATAGTCGAGCTGGATTTTTTCCAAAGCATCGAAACAAACTGAGAGTTTAAAAACAAAGATTTACACGTACCAAGTCAACGTAATATTTTAAATATACAGGGTCGGAAAGTCCCCATGGTTCATCGACCGTTACGTGAGAGCGATAAAGAAAGTCATAGAAATCCGTGCGATAGAGAAAGATGGGTATAATGAATAAGATCCACTTCTTATTTGTGGAAGGGCGAAATGGGCGGTGACTATTAGACGCCTTCATTATAGCCATCCTTCTCTATCGCACGGATTTCTATGACTTACTTTATCGCTCTCACGTAACGGCCGATGAACCATGGGGACTTTCCGACCCTGTATATAAATGTTTGAAAAGAGAAAATAGTGAACAATGTGATAAAGAAATTAGGAAATGGATTAGCGAATTAACTAAGATATCAAAAACGACAATTTATCGCGTAATTAAAGAAGGAGACGTTATTAATCGCGGTACAAAGAAGAAACGGAAAAATATACAAAATTAAAGAATATTGACAATTTTATCAGAGATGTAATTTAGCGTACAATTTATATGTATAAAGAAAATAAAGTTCCGACTTTAAACATGACTCGAGACAAATTAAGCGATTATCCTGATTATAATTATAAATCTTTAGATACTTTACAACATGTTTTATTACAATGCAGTTTTAAACATAAAAAATTCGAGAATATCGTCAACCAAATAGGAATATAGGAATATAGTATTTCTAGACGAGACGGAACAACATTTTTCTAGACGCCTATGGATTCCGTAGAGTTTATGAGTTAAATGTTTTTATGCGGTTCCAACTGATATCGTAACAACTATACTAACTGTCAGTAAAACTAATTCATATTTTAAAATAGTAATTTTTGCTGTTTTATAAAATGTACAGAATAAAAAATACTTATTAATTTGATAATTTGAAATAATATTAAATCATTGAAGTTTTTCTTAAAATGTATTTTATTACATGTGTGGTTATTGAGGTTACATTAGCGGCAGAATACGAAAACTACGAGAAGGTTAAAAAAAATCAATTTTCCTGAGAGAATTAGAGAAAACAAATTTTGATACATATTTCAAAAAGTCAAATTTACATCCCCATTCAAAGTTACACCCTGTATATTATTCTGAATTATTTTATTGGCAATTAATGAAAAATCTTGACATAAAAATATACTACATATAGAAATATCGCGAATAAAATTCATATTTCATAATACTAATAGAAAAAACTAACAATCTTTGGCATCTTCTATGTTTGGAATAAAACTTTTGTACTTAAAGTATTTAATTATCTAAGTAATATTTGTATGAGAAATATATAAGTACAATTAAGAAAAAATATTTACTAATTAAATACAAGTTTATTTACTGATATTTTTATGGCACTGAATTTTAAGGACATTTTTTAGTACTATTATTTTTTTCATAAAAAAAATTGTATAAAAAAAATATATAAACATAATAATAAAATCGTCTATTACTAAACAATGAATCAATTTCTAAATATAAAACAATTATTATAACATTAATATTGCAGGGAATCATATGATTTACAACTTTTTAAAACAAAAGCATAAAAAAATAAGACATTCAGTGCATTTTTCTGTACTACTCCGTGGATATACATACTATACTATTCGATAAATTTAATATCTTGCAACAAAGAATTCGATTATATTAAACAACGGCCAGCATATAAAGATATAAACATGAAGGTGCAATCACAATTAGTTGGAAGATTAAATTTTGTTGCCCTGATTAACCAGAACGGGGCATCGGTTAACAAAGGAAACCCTCAACTTACCAGGATGTTGCTCCCATGGTTCCCCGTCTATTTGGATCGGAGCTTTTTCTTTAAGTCTCACCTACAAAACATGCATTTCAAAGAAACGGAATGTCACTATTTTTTTTATCAAGCTTTACAAACAGGTTGTCTATTCTATTACACAGAGTGTTACAAGAATTATTAACAATTTTAGTTGCAATTGCAAAAAATGCAACTTTAAATTTATTGCCAAATAAAGGAAAAAAACGAATTTGCTTACAAACGTTTTATACCCCTCCTGCAAATTATTGTAAGAAATTTACAAACCTCTACAACTTTTGCCTGGCCTAGTTTCAGAGGGCACGACAGTCCAACTTGCAATTGGGCCATATGGAATGACGAGTAAATGCCGACAACCTCCAAAATGCCGTCATGATAAGACTGGATCATTCTCGTTCCGCTATCACCACTCATACCTAAAGGATGAGATTAACAGTAAAATAAGATATCTTTTTAGTGAAATCAATTGATAAATCCTCTTTTAATAAAGCTTTTACCCCACAAATTCACTCCAGCTCCCCAAGACGAAATATTGAGTATTACGATAGATTCTAATTCGGGCAAATTCACATGCACGCCGTCTAAATATAGATCGATCCGCTGTTCCAAATTCTTGCAATTAGCATTTACAACCTGTTGGGTCCCGAAGCACAAATACAATATCTAAAATGTAAACGTTGTTTAATGTGATAGATGATTTTTGAGTCGAATAAGTATCTCAGTAAATACAAAACTACTTGCCTTATTAAACAATCTGCTCCCGTATACGTAAAAAGCACTATCTCTAGTTTTATGGAAATTTAAAGCTACTTGGGCATCAACACCTACACTGAGATAATTATACATAAAGTAAGTTTTATTGGGTAACTTTAAGCCTAAATGTCTTGTTGAGGTCATCTCAACTTTCCACCTAAAAATGATTTTTTCTTTTAAATATGATTTATTAAATTTGAAATATAAGACAAAGTAATAATTTTTGTATTAAAGCAATCCTTGAAATGTAGAACAATGTGATACCAAATACTTCTTGAATGAATTGGTGAATTAATTCATAAAGGAATTCATTAGTAGATTGTCAAAGTAAAGCTGGTGTTACAGACATCAAACAATCAAAATTTAAAAGCGTAAAATTATTGACATACCTATCTAAATCTGAGAATCTAGCTTCCTGTATGTTTTTTAAAATAGTATCAACTTGTAATTCTGCAGGATTTTCCTTGCCCCAACCCAAAACTCTAGACAGATCATTTCCAGTACCTAAAGGAATAATAGCTAGAGGCGGTTCAGGCTAAAACGAGATAAATTAGGAAAAGAATGTACAACTCGATATGTTTAAATCCTTACATCGAGATCCAACTTATGGGATGTTGTTAAAACCCAAGAAATCGTCCCATCCCCCCCACCAACCAATATATGCACCACTTTAGGAGCTAAAAGGACACACCACTGCAGTGCAGCAGCAGGTTTTCTCTCGTTTAAATCTATAACTTGAACGGGGTTCAAATACTTTCGAAATTCCGATAAAACCACAGCTCCGTCACCATTTCCTGATTTCTTATTAGCTGTTTTTAAATTAAATTAAATATTATTTTCTACATCAACATTCACACTATTATCATACGCAGGAATAACAAACAGTAAATAATAAAACATATATATAATTTTTGTACCTATCAAAACTAAAGGGGTCCATTTGTCCCAACCGGGGTCTTTCACACCTCTTAATAACAAGTGTTTATGTAAAGCACCCTTGCGCCTAGCAACTTGCACGCACCAAGGGGGCACAATCATATTTCTGTAAGGTCCAAAGTCACATACCTATAAAATAATTTTCAGTTTCATGGAATACAAAAACTGTATCACCCGATAACAATAATATTACAATACCTCTTCAACCTCTGGCAAACAATCTTTATGCACCGTTCTTTGACACCAGCAACACTGATAATCCGTTAAACCAAGCTCCATAGAACAATCCTCATCGCATATAGTGCAAATGGCACCCAAAGGTAAATTACCTGCATCGAGTGTATATTAACAGATAATAAGCAGAAATATTTGTCTTACCTTTCACCCAGTGATGAAGATGGTAGTCACTACCGCTAGTTACTGCTTTGCATGGCAATTTCTGATTAGCCTTTTTTACACAATCAGGATCTGCACAGACACCACAGCAATCGCAATATACACCAATTCCATGTAGTAAAAATGATTCACAAATAGAGCAATACCAAGCCTATAATTTATTTCAAATAACGCTAAAGACTAAGTCTTAATCTTACTTACTTTTGATGTGACTTTAATAGACGTCCAGCTGTGGTTTCTAGTGGAGTCCCTTACTGGTACATTAACATCTGCGCTAATTTTTTTGAATAAATAGAAGCTAAGACAACACACAAGAAAAGCACTAAAGAACCCTGTCAGTCCGAGAGGGGGATAGAGGTCACCAAAAATCCACATTTTCGGGTTAATGTGTTTGTTCAAAATTTTACTGAAAGCATTCATTTCATTAGGATCAATGATTTAAGTTTAGATTGTAAATAGGCACGTTTGAAAAACATTACGTCTTCTTAGTACATAAACTAGAACAATGAAAGTTTAGCCATTACAATGATGGTGCAAAAACCAAAAGCACCTCTAAAATTATTTACATTTTCTTGTTGTTTACGTTCTGTCAAATCCAAAACCCAAATGTCAGTTGCTGACAAATAACAGTTTATGGGGGGCTTTCGTTTTGACAAAAAGAGTTCCTATTAGATAACAGTTGAGAGTAACTCTAATTTGCTATTAGCTACTATTTTTGCCAAATCGAAAGGCCCTTTTGACAGGAGCCTAGATAAATGATGACAGGAGTAAAAAATAAACAGTTTTTGACAGGAGTCAAAATATAAGTTATCCCATCAAATAGGAATATAATCGATCTCGATTTCATCCATCGTTATTTCTTTTAGGTAAATAATTTATTACATACATTATTCACTTAGTTAATAGTTTTCAAATATATTTTTCCGTCTAGAAATTGTCTTGTTGCTCATTCTTGGCAGTAGGCACGACAAACATTAGTAACATTCTGCACCATCAGGTTCGACTCGTGAAATTTTACCAACCACGGAAATTTTAAATATTTCGTTTTCTACAAAAATTCATCTATCAAATTTTTAGTTTAATTTAAAATAAAATAGGATCTAATATATGTGGGAAAATGGGAAATGTTTATTACTGTAGTTATTTATTAAAAATTATTAAAATAAAAACCACCAAATTTGATTGCTCGAATATCAGCTTTAATAAATATGATACAAGCCTATTATAAACAATATAATTTTAATAGTAACAAAATATAATTACAAAATCTCATTAGTGTATACTGTAACAATAAAAATAAATTAATTTAAAAAAGTCACTAAATCTGCCATCAGGAACTAACATCCGCTGGCACATTAACAAGATTATTAACTTTAACAGTCTTATTTTTCCTAGAAGCGACCGGCGACTTATTCTTTTCAGTTCCTGAATCATTATCGGAACTGTATATCACTCCGTTCCTCGGTTTACCATCCTCGCTGATGCTTTTACTCTCACTACGACTCTTCCTGCGTTGTATCCTAGTGTCCTTCAAAAACTCACTTAACTGATGAAACCGATGTTCCCAGAACAAGTTTTGTTTTTGTACTAGATCACTATGCTTGTTAATAAAGTCTGTATCGCTGGGCAAGTTCAATTCCCAGCCCTTACTGTGGCTGCGCAGACTGGAAATGCCGGTAAAAATTTCCTTCACTTCCTCCGAAGGGATTTTCACCATTGAGGACACTTTCTTCCTCTCGACATATTGGTTCTTCGTAAATAGATATAACTGAAAATAAACAGGTGTTTAAAATCTGTATATTTAATACTGCTACATGGTATTGCAATATTGCATCGACAAAATACTACGGGGGATTCTCTAGATCTACAAATACTTCGTCCTTGAGATAATGAGTTATAGTTTCAATAATTTATTTTATCCTTTTTCTGGTGGGATATGCTGTCCGGTTAGGTTACCAGACATGAAACCACATTATTACAGGTTTACTTAAAATGTTACAATGTCATAAAACACTGTGACAATTTCTTTATTGTTTAGTAAAGTTAGTAGTCCAGGGAACAAAGAGAAAAATAGGGTAAAACTTCTGAATACTTTTAGTAGATCTGATTTTTATGAAAATTTGGAATTAAGCTTATTAAGCAAAAAGTTTGGAACCCCCCTATATCTCAAAAAATACTGCTCAAACAAGAAAATGATTAGGACAAAAGTTGCAGGGTTATGAGTGAGCAATCCAATGGTGACCTTGACCATGGCCTTCAAGGTCATTTAGAGGTCGACCTGAAAATTTTAAATGGAACCGTATATTTTTTACCCTGGAAATGGAAAAAATGGAAATTTTTACGTTTAGATCTGACCTTAACCATGACCTTCAAGGTCGTTTACGGGACAAGTCGATTTTTAATAAATGATCCGATATTCTTGACTGCAGAAATTGAATGAGCGTAAAATTAAAAAATGACCTATACCATGTCTTTGACCATGACCTAAAGGCAACTGTAACGTCAAATGTAAGCAATGAACTTAAGTTTAATAATGCTCTTATGAAAAAAATTTAACGGCAAAAATTTTCTACTCGACCTCTAAATGACCTTCAAGGTCAAGGTCACCGTTGGATTGCTCACTCAAAACCCTGCAACTTTTGTCCTAACCATTTTTTTATTTGAGTAGTATTTTCTGAGATAGAGGGGGTTCCAAACTTTTTGAACACCCTGTATGTATTATAAATAGAAATCTTTTCAATAGTTTATAGTATTATAAATAATTTATTACAATATTTCAACCCTTAAAAACTACCCCTAATAACAAAATATTCTGTAAAAAAATATCTATACTTTTGTACTCTTCAATATTTTTCGTATCTTTTTTATTGTTAATGTTATTTTCAGACATGTTATTTTTTTGGAATTAAAAAAACATTTTTTTCAATCAAAACAGTATTTTCGAAAATATGCATTTAAACTGCTTAAACTCTTATATAATATATTGTTAGCACATAAAAAATGTAAATTGTAGAAAGATTACCTCCAATTTTAAATCTCGAGAAAAATTTATCAGTTTTTGTACTGATTTTTTTTCTGAAAAAGCGAATTGACAGTTTTATTTTGAACATAACTCTGTTAATTTTTCTGCTAATGGCTTAAAGTCAAGTTCATTTTAAAGATTTTTTAAAATACTTTAAAAAATGTTCTGTGCATTTTTCTTGAAAAATAGAATTTTTTAAGTTATTTTATGTTAAATACTTCCAATTTAGTTTCTGGCGGAAATGAAATTATGTTCAACCACCCGTATCTCAACAGCTATTGCACCTACATAAATGAAAACAAAACTCAATATTTTTCTTTTTCTGTTTCATATTCTTTATGATGTATTTTTTTATAGAAAGTCTATTTTCAGAGTTATTCGAGAAAAACTACTGAAAAACGTCTTTTTTAATAAAAAATGTACATTTTCAATCAACAATAACAGAAAATACAGACTTGTCGAAAAATGTTCATAAGATACTTTTTGCTTAAAATTGATTGCTTTATCGATTCCTGGGGTTATTTTCAATAATTATTTTTCGCCCCCTAGAACTCCCTGGGCAGAAGCACTCATCGGCACTATATAACTTTTGTTTCTTGAGCTATTTTCTACTTACAGTCCATGTTTCATGTCAATCGGTTCTGTCCGAAAGAATTTGGAGAGAAAACCCTTGGTTCCCTGGACTATAGTACTGTTGCAACAAAAAAATTTGGGGGGATTAGAAGGTTTTTGTTTCCAAACAATAAAGTCCTAAAAATTATAACACTCTATATGCACAGAAATGTTGTAAGAAAAATGTGTACAACTGTTCTGTCAGCAAATTTAAATATCCAACAATTATTCTCTAAGAAATGAACATAATTTGAGTGAATCCCAGATTACAATAAAATTTTGATAACGTATAAATATTAAAAGGTCACACCTTACCCGATTACAATTAATATATGAGTAATAATCTTTTTATCTTTTTCGGTACTGCTAATATTTATGTTGTATACATGATTAATAATTTTGTACTTTTTGGAACTAAATATCACACCAGTCACTAAAATCAGTGTGGACATAATTTGTTTTACCTCCTACAATGTAAGGGTGTCCAAAAGCATAAAGCATACTTCAAAGACAGCATCTACATGTTTTTAAGATGATTTTTAAAATATTTCAATAAAATTTGGTGTAGTCAGGTTATGCTGAAGATAAACATAGTCTAAATATGTCTTTTCCCCATACTTTTCTGAAAAATTGAAATCTGTAACACGCATTTTAGCAACATGAACAAAAACATCTTTTTTATAGCAAATAAAGGGACGTTTCCTAAAGCAAATCTGTTTCCTCAAAATCTTTACATTCCCTACTAACATAAAATATATAATAAAAAACAAAAAAAATGTTTAGATATTTTTTGGCAATTTTTATTTTTTAGCAATGTTTTAAGTAAGAAATAAGCATGTCCGCACCCCAAAAACTTCTTCATCAAGTTCTGATAAAACAGATTTAACCACGTTAAATAGTTATCCTTTTCGTATCTTTTTTTAATATTGTAAGTATTTTTATTATATATAATCAATAATCAATTTCCAACTTACAACATAATCTCTCGCTCGACACATAAGTTCCGCAGGAACACCACTAGTAGCAGACAAAGTATTTGCAGGGTATAATACTTCAGATTTAACCACCCAGTTACCCCTCACTAGAACAGCTACTTTTGGCAAGGTTCTCAATAAAATGTCCGGAGTTAGGCCTTCACCCCCTGCCAGTAACATTAAAAGCTGCTGAAACTGTATTATTTGAGCTGAAATAAAAAATAAGTATGTAGATTTATAAAAACGATGTTGGTAATATAAGAATACTATACCATCTTTCAGTAACAGTCGACATTGTTCGAGAATTGGCAAGGCTCTTAAAGCATGCAGGGAGAGTACATGCGAAGGTAAGCTGGGTTCTAAAGGTGTTTGTTCCTGATCCTCTGGTATCAGTAATTTCACATATTCGGTGTCAGTAAGTTCATTAACTTGATTAACGTCATGGGTATAGTCAGCTATCAATTTTAGCCGTTCCAACTACAAAATAAATGTAACTTGTTAATGACAGTCAAAAATACATAAAAAATGTATACTCACACTGCTGGCAGTCGAATCTTTTTCACACCAAGTGCATTCAGTCCACGGTTCTTCGGCACTTTTCGCTTGAATTGATTTAAAGCTGTTTTCTTTTGCCTTTTTCCACCTTTCGTCATTCTGTTTGAATTTCACAGTAACCTGTTGCGCAGAACTTGGTCCAGGTTGCTCTTCATCAGATTCATTGTTAGAGTCTACTTCCTTTTTTCGCTTTAAACCTTTTTCCATATAAGGAAAGTTAGGGCGAAATTGAAAAATGCCTATAATCAGAGAGGAGTATATTAAATATTGCATCACATTATATAATAATAAATCACCTTTCAATGCAGTCAAATGAATTTCAGAACCATTGTAAGCAGCCACAGCATACTTGTTAGCATCCGTAACTGCTTTACATGATTGGAGGAATACTTTATCTACAATTTCATTTTCGAAAAATGGTTTTTTATCTTTCTTTATATTATCGACGTCTCCATCTACTTCATGAGCTATAATTTCAGCCCGACCTACGTCAAAATTTGGAGACTCGACGTTTATAGCCAACTCTAGTTTTGCTTCTTCATTTTGGGGTTTATAGAAACATTTTTTAATTTTGTGTTCATTTGTGCAGTTTTTCCTTTTTAACGGAAATTGGAATAAATACAAACCATTTTCTAACCGCTTTGAATTGATTATGGGTATCTAAAAAATAATTAGAAGATTAAATCCTGATCTCCCATAGCATGTTGCGTTAACCTATATGCATATTTTATATTAATAGTAAAATTATTACTACATTACCTCTTTTACGATGGGATCATCAATGTCATCAGATTCTGAGACAACAGGTTCATCCATAATCTTCAACTTTAAAAAAATATTGCATGAATATTACGTGTGCACATAAAACTTTATCTACAGACTACCGTCGCCGACTGCCAACTGAAACTGATGCAAAAGTGCAAAACGAAAACGTGTGATAGAATGATAAATAGATAGAGGCATTTTCTGTGATTTCTATGGACCGCACGGCAACTTAATTACTATGAAGATAGTTACTTTACTTTACTTTGAGCACAGAAAAGCTTTGAGTTTGCCGAATTCGCGCCATTATTCCATGGCTAGAAATTGGCCTCAATGATTTGGGATCGAGGGGGATTATCCCTCTTTATCCTGCCTCATCTCGTGTAGGCCTGGAC